ATAAATTGGGGTCCGAAGACCCGGCTTGTGGGGAAATAAACCAGGGGGTCCCAGGCGGGGGGGGGGGGGGGGGGGGGGGATGGGTGTGGTTGCTCTTGCTCTCCTCTTTTTGTTACACCCTATCCCGCTGCCGCGGTTCTAGGTGAAAACCAGCCCGTTTTTTCGTAGTAGAGACTTTGGCCGAGAGGGGGTGCAAGCGGCTGTAGGTGTTGGTCAATCGCGGGGTGTTTCGGAGCGTCGACCATCGCTTTGGCTATGGCTGGTTTTGCCATTGATGTCGTCGTTCTCGTGGGTTATTCAACTTCTGCTGATACCGTTTAGTTTCAGGTCAGGAGGAATAAAAACTGCAAACAGCAGTCTGTTGGTACCCCATCCGTCGCCCCACTACAACGGTAGAGCTAAAGTCAACGCTACCAAAGCGCCCGGCTCCGGGGTCTCTCTGTTGTGCACCTATCCGCCAGGACCTGCGGTTTGATCCTCCCACCGCGTGCATGTAAACGCCTGCTGGACTTGAACAGGTGCCAAGCTCGCCCCGCGGACATCTCTCGCGAAGAGGCTAGCGCTGCCGCCGTTATCGGCGGCGGCGACGGCGACGTCGTTGGCGGGATCGCAAGCGTAAGGGCAAGGAGGCGGGTCGGTACGAAGATCTGCGTGGAGCTGAGGGTGCCTAGCCCCGAGGTCGGCGAGCGCTGGGCAGCCCTCTTCCGAGAACGGGCAGCTCTAGAAGTGAGCGGTGTGTGTGTGTGTGTTTTTGTTCTTAGCATCGACCGCGGTGACCGGCTGACCAATGAAAAGACGTCAGTCTCAGTGCGGTTGAAAACTCAAAACACTTCTAAATTCCATTTTCTGGGACCCCGTGAGGGGGCGGCATGGGGGAGACTGACCTATTCTCCGTATCAAAGACAGAAACGGTAGCAACAGAAGAAAACCGCACATATCTACGAAGGCTGCCACCTTGCACTCGATTTCGTTTTAGAGTGCGTTCACCATCATCCTCGTTCATTTTCCAATTCCAACTCTGTCGTTCTCATGGCCGTTTTCACGGCAACTTTTCTCGACATTTCGCCTCTAGCCCTGCGTCGTTTGTGGTGGGGAAGGTCGTCTGGCTCGAAGCTGTCGTGTGTGTGTGTTTTTCGTCCCGTCTGTTCTGGCGCCGGTTTACAGGCCTTTCGGCGTATTTCCCTGACGTATGTATGTATCAGCCGGGGTCACACAAGAGGAAGGTCATGCAGGAGTTTTTTTTTGTTTTTCCTGCTTGTTTTATTGCTCCATCATCCACCCTGGGTGCTTGCTCTGTTTTTTTATCGCGAGAAGGGTTCATCCGTCCCTCGTGCGTGGAAACTCATTTTTCGAAATGGATTCATTCCTTCTTCGCTGAATTCGTATTTTTTTTTGCTTTTTTTTCCGTGGGATCGTGACGAAGAGTCGAAACTTCGAACTAAAGCGAAGGGGATGGAGGGTGGTCGACATATTGCATGCAGCCAATGGGTTACGTGGAATGGATGGCGATCGTAATAACCGCCCGCTGAGCATAAGTTGTCGTTGTGGTTGGCGTTTTGGGGACAGCGTGGGTGTACACGGCAAGGTTAATTACTGCAGCTCGATTTGCGAACGAATTGCAACGGTGAGTACGGAGATTGGGGGCGGGCCGGGGGTCATACATCTCATCATAGCATAGTGTAGATGTGAACCAGTAGGAGTAAAGTTGCCCGCGCGCGCGTGTGTGTGGGAGACAAATAGTTGTTCGTATCTCAGACGGGACGTTGTCAGTGCCCCAGGAAGTCAGCCAGCCAGGCCACCACTTGACTCGCTCGCCGACCGTCAGTCATTCTCTCCCCAAAATGAAGACGTTAACGCACACCAAACACTCAATTCCTGCGCGTTTTATCAACTTCCCGCCTCCCTTAAAAACTCGTCCGCATGTTAGATGGCCTCGTTGTTCGAGCCCAGCCCCCCTGACTTCGAAGACAACACCAAGGGCGGCGGCAGCGGTGACAGTGGCAGCGGTGACCACCACAGCGGAGGGGGCGACGGCGTTGGAGGGGGGGCGGGGTTCCGTGGCGGCGGCGCAGAAGGGGGGGTCGAGACGGACACCGGTTTTTCCGTGCTCGGGACAGGACGTTTCTCCAGGGTGGTGTGGGCCAGGAGGAAGCGGCCCTGGGCGAGGGCTGGGGGTAGCGTCTCGGCGATAAAGGTGGGTTTCGGTATACGTTTGTTGCTGGCTGACCCTAAGGCCTGGTTTCGATCGTAGAAGATGAGAGTCAGAGAGAGGCGCGCTGGCCAGCTTTCGATCACTACAAACAGTTATACCAGCCACAGCAGTATCTACAGCTGTTGTGGACCCCGCATATCTCGATACGTTTGTGTATTGATACGCTTTGCTAGTCTAAACAGGAGCTGCGCGAGTCACGGAAGGGTGATTGCTGCACCTCCAGATCTGCTCTAGATGATGGCAGGTACCAAAAAATAATTCCTGATGCATTTTCGTGCAGAGGTTGAACATTGCAGTTACTTGGCGTGGGCGGGGCAGGGGTTTTTTCTTCATCACACAGGTCACTGCAGTAGGTAAGATGTAAGATGTGCATTTTTCCCTTGTAGCAATGCCTATATTTCTCTGCTGATATCAGTACTATGTTGTAAGCCAGAGACATCCCCGTACCAATAACACTGTACCCTGTCTCCCGTATTCGGCAGATTGTCAACAAGCAGGCGTTCTGGTCCCGCGTCCGCGTCGGCAAGGAGCGGGTTGACACCCTCGCCAGGGAAGTCTTCTGCCAGACCACCCTGACCATCAAGGGCGCGGATGCCGCCTCGGGAGCAGCAGCCGGCGGTGACCCCTCCTCCCAAGAAAGTTCCGAAGAACGCTCCGAAGAACGTTCCGAAGAACGTTCCGAAGATCGGTCTTCTCGGGGGGCGGGCGGGGCGGAGGCGGTGGTTGCCTGTGACGGCACGGGGGGCGGGGGGATCGTCCGCATCCACAGCATCTTCGAGACGGCGGACGACTTGGTGAGTGATTAGGAGTGCGGGGCGGAGACGCGCCTCCTTTTGTGTGGGAGGAGGTTGAGAGAGGCGTGCCTTGTGTTTGCGCTTTGTGGTTGGTTGCAAACAGGCGTTAGTGGGAGCCAATATCGGTTGATCGACAGCATGTGCTGCTGCAGTGTGCTGTCGCGAATGAGCGGGTCATGTTGCGACCCTACAAGTGGAGTCTCGCTGCGGCTTACCATAAGGTTAGGGTTTATCGCGATGCTAGTGGAGCTCCACTTTGGCCTAAAGGAACCGCGAAAGCTTTCCGCGACATGCCACAGCGAATGAAGTCGAGACGGCATGCACAGGTTCTGGGACGTCGAGTAGCAGCGCACCGCATGCATTCTCTGCTGCATGTTCGAAGTCGAAGAACACCTGGAACGGAAACGGACCCTGAAGAGTGTGCCTGCCTGTATCCCCTTGTGTTGCGTCAGCTGGAGCTAGGAGGATGGGCGGCAAGCAGCAATTCCAGAAATCCCAGCAGCTCCAAAAAGCGCACTTCGTTGCCAAGAGTACGATACAGTACCGTCAGCATGTGCCAGAATTACATAATATATAGGGCAGCTATTTACAATTCGAGTAGATATGTTCGAAAACCAGTTGAATGAAGACTTGCGACATCCTACCGACACCTCGCTTTGCTTGCCAGCTCCCAAAGCTCAAGAAAGTCGTCGAACTGAATAACCAAATATAGTCTAGGCGGCGGGAGCGCATCGCCGTTAGAGGCCAGGCCTCTGCCTGTATGTATGTATGTATGTATGTTGTATGCACGTGTCACTCCCCAGCAAACATTCCCGACTACATAATATGCGGAAATGATCAAAACTCATTGGTGGAGTTAGCTCGCAAACGAGTAATTTGTGCCACCATATATCCCGGTCGAAAAAATGCCTGGAATGCCGAAGTGACCAGCATATTGGTGGGAATCAAGCTCGCAAATGAGGACCGTACGCCACGGAATTCGCCGATAAAAAGTGCCTGGAATGAAACTCATTGTGTCGAGCGGTTTGAATACATTCTCAGACAAATGCTAGCCGTGCCACCTTTTCCCGCGAAATCTACTTCCAGATCCTGGAGATGGACCTCATGTCGAGGACGGACCTGTTCGACCGACTGTTGGAGCGGGACGGCGCCTTGTCGGAGAGGGAGGCGGCGGGGTTGACCGTAAACTTGCTTCGCGCGGTACGGGGGCAAGCTCTCAAGCATGATTTACAAACAGCCAACCATTAAGCTTGGATGACGTGTAGCCAGAACGCGCGGTACGGGGGCAAGCTCTCGAGGATGATTGATGCAACTAAAACGGCCGCAGAACAATTTAGCCGGCAGGAAGCGAATGTAGCCTGAACGCGCGGTGGAAGCAAGGGATTAGATGGCAACTGCCACTTATCGTATTAACATGGAGGAAGCATTGCCAGAACGCGTGGTGCGGGAACAAGCTTAATGATGATGGATTCAATAAAACAGCCTCAAAACAGTAGCACATGGAGGGAGCGAGTGTAAGCAGAACGCGCGATGCGGGAGCAAGCTTAGGGCTGTTTGATGCCACGAAAACAGCCGCAAAACAAGTGAGCGTGGAGGAAAAGCGTGTCCAGAAACGAAATTCACGTGCTATGCATTCGCTGCACGCTTTAAACAGGGTCTGTTTCCACTTGATGGTTCCCTTTTTCCAAGGGCAACCAACGGCTTTTGTTTGTTCCCTTCCTCTCGTTGCCGCTGCTGTTCGGACAAGCATACGTAGGCCGCGCGGGACTTTGGATGCTTGTGTCCTTGCTGTGATTCTTGCGCTTGGTGAACAAAGTTTTTTTTTTTTTTTTGAAAGCATGATTTGATTTACTCCGGAGTAAATGTCATTTTTTTCTGTCCTTCTGGTCGTGTCATGATGCGATGGTTGAAATTCTCGCGTGCTACTGCAGTAATATGTGTTTCTGTTTCTTCCTTGATAATTTATAGGGGATTTTGGAAGACTAAATTTACTCGAAAAAAAACAACTCAACAGTACTTGGTTTTGTAAAACCCGCAAGGAAGCGGAAAACCTGGGATCGCCGCTGGCAACGATCTCGTTTGTGACGCCTAACTCTACGTTCTGCTTGCTGCCTTACTCCAACTCCAGATCGACAAGTGCAACAGGCTCGGGTTCTGCCACAGAGACGTGAAGCTGTCCAACCTCCTGTACCCCGGGCCGGCCTCTACTCACGGACCCGAGTGCGTCCTTCTCGCCGACTTCGGGATGGCCACCACGGCCGGTCGGGACGGCTTGGTTCGTGGAAGGTATACTTGTTGCGCTGCTGCTTGCTAGTACTCTCGCCCGTTCTCGCCGACGGTTTCGTGGGTGAAATCCCCCCGACTACGACGAAAGAGCCATCGTGTGATCATGTCCTGGGCCTACAATTTGACGGTTGTGTGGTATCACTAGTGTATTAGTGTATTATAGTGTATTATTGTGTGGTGTGTTGTAGGGACGACAGGGATAAGACAGCCGGTTAGGGCGGGTCGGGTCCTGTTATAGTTGGACCAGTGCGGATGTTGGGGGGTACTGAGGAAAGACCGCAACGTTTATCCATGTGAAGCCAAACACCACCACCACCACCACGACCAAGAATAACAACACGACGACAACAACAACAACGACAACAACGACAACAACTTACAACCGCAGGTGCGGCACTTCGGGCTACGTTGCCCCGGAGATACTGAAGGCCGGAAAGCAGGAGGGCTACGGCATGAACGTGGACATATTCTCGGTGAGCATCATCCACCATTACAGATGCGCCCGCTCCGAAGAACCTCGAGTTTTCGCCAAGAATGAGGTTCTTCGTGCCTCTTCTGGCCTACAGATGGCTGCTCTGTAGGATTGAATGCAGGGGTCTCAACGGGGCTCCCGAATGGTTAAGGTGTCATGACAATGTTGAGCATGAAGTTTTTCACTTCCTCGTTCTGAAGCGCCGGCGCTACGTTGAAGCCTTGGTAGTAGACTTTCGCACACGGGTGAGCCCGCCATCTCAACACTCTTTCACACGTTTTCTTGGTGGTCGACGGCTGTCCCAGCTGCAAGCGTTTCGAGTAGGAGGCGCAAACACTTGGCTGCCGGGTGAGCGCAAGTTCGGCGATCCCACACGCCGGGGCATTGGTGGTCACGCCCTTTGCGTGGTAGATCTTGTATTGAACGACTTTCCCGTGTGTTTGTACGGTACGCATTACACCGGGTCCCACCCGTGCCGGAAACATGGGAAGTTATTACCGTCGCCGTTACTATTGACGGCTCGGGAGAGCACAACTCCATGAGAGCTGGTTATAGAGACAAGCAAGGCAGAGAGAGAGAGAGAGAGAGAGAGAGAGAGAGAGAGAGAGAGAGAGAGAGAGAGAGAGAGAGAGAGAGAGAGAGAGAGAGAGAGAGAGAGAGAGAGAGAGAGAGAGAGAGAGAGAGAGAGAGACAGATAGACAGAGAGACAGATAGACAGAGAGGCAGAGACAGAGAGAGTCCACAGGAGTTAATTGCTGGAGCTTCGCACGAGAAAACGACGAACCCCACCTTCCACGTCAACGTGCCCCAAGCAACGCCCACGTACATATATCGCCCCTGTGCGCGTTTGGTGCCTCGCTACATTCCCCGTGCAACCAAACACATGCACCGTACACGAGGCAGCACACCCACACGGGATAACACCCCCCCCAACACACACAGTACTACATCAGTATATTTACCGGTCGACATGGGCCGAAAACAAACAACTACTGCTAGATATAAGGAAAGAGGGCGGCACATGATACCACCGTCCCCACACACAATAGCACACGCGGTGATAAATATTTCAGGGCTTAGGCCATTCCTTACGGTGTCTTTTTTTTTAGATCTTTTTCCCCCCCGAAGGGACGACCCAAAAAGGGATCTACCAAAAAGATGACCCCCTTCTTATGGTGCTGGTCGATCTTTTTTCTCTTCCGAGTCATCGACAGAAAAAAAGAGACCCTGCAACGCCCGTTGTCATATACTTCTACATAACCCTTCCACCGCTTTGGTTTTTCGGCGATATATCCCCACAGAGTGAAGCAGCAGCAACTGTAAAGCTATCCCTCGCGAACTGTGGGTATGGTCCATCTTGTGTGGCGGCTGATAGAGTCCACGGGGCGATAGGAGGCACGGAAACTGAGGTGGCGAGAGTCAACAGCACGCTGAAAAAATGCCCACCGCTCCAGCCAACTCCAGCAACCAGTTTTTTTTTCTCTTTTGCCCGTGTCGCAACTTTGGTTTACCGGTACTCCCTCGCCACCCACTAAAGCAACAGCGATTACAAAGGCATGCGCCACAAGCTGTGTGAATGATCCGTCTTGTGTGGTGACTGATACAGACCAGGAGGCTATAGGGCGCTCAGAGATTGTGAGCGCGAGAGTAGCGGACAAGCGGGAAAAAAGACCCGCCGCATCTTCAAGCAGCTTTTTTTGCTTCTGTGCCCGTGTCGCAACTTTGGTTTAGCGGTACTTCCTCGCCACCCACCCAACCAACAGCGACGAGAAAGGTATGCGTCACGAGCTGTGCGTATGGTTCGTCTTGTGTGATGGCTAATACAGACCAGGAGGCGGTAGGGCGCTCAGAAGTTGGGTTCGCAAAGTTGACAGTACACGAAAAATGACCCACCGCTGCTGCGTCCAGGCTCTCTCGGCTTGTTTGCCATTTATTTGCCGCACACATCGGGTCGTCCACGTGATCCAGCCGAATGAAAAAATAACGGCTACCGCCGGTGCTACCGGCCCTGTACCAGCCACATGGCACAACTCGTGTGACCACCGTTAGGGTTTGCGGGGATCAACCGTGGAGAGATTCAAGTTTGTAGGTAGGAGTCATGCGGTTGTGGCCAAAAAAAGATCACAGAAAAAGGCAGCCCCGACTTATCCAAAACTGCCCCAGAAAAAGACAGGATGGGCTGTCCAAAACGGGTTGTCTTTTTTTGTTGGCCTTTTTTCCCTGAAAAAAGACACCGTAAGACGGGGTTCTGTGGCCAGTTGTTTTTTTTTGAGAAGGAAAAAAGAAAAAGACAGCTCCGAAAAAGAACCGTAAGAAATGGCCTTATATGTTAAATATCGGGGGGGGGGGGGGTGTTTTTTTGTGTCGTTTATGGTATTCAAAAAACACATCAATCGCACAAGCTCGCGAACGCATGTCCCACGGAACGGCATCGACAAGGAACCACGGAACGTGCCACATTTTCTGCGTGTGCAGGCTGGAGTCGTCCTCTACATTTGCCTGTGCGGTTTCGAGCCGTTTTTCGGGGTGACGGAGAAGGATGTCATCGCGGCCAACAAGGAGGCGGTATTCGAGTTCCCCCCGGAGGCGTGGGATGACGTTTCCGAGGGGGCTAAGGATCTGGTGAGCGCTCGTCGTCGTCGTCGTCGTCGTTGTTATTGTCGTCGTCGTCGTCGTCGTTGTTGTCATCGTTGTCGTTGTTGTTGTTGGTCGTTGTTGTTGTTGTTGTCGTCGTCGTCGTTGTTGTCATCGTTGTCGTTGTTGTTGTTGGTCGTTGTTGTTGTTGTTGTTGTTGTTGTTGTTGTTGTTGTTGTTGTTGTTGTTGTTGTCGTCGTCGTCGTT